CTGCCTGTGTTCAGTTAGAATGAAAATGTAACAGAAAACTAGATGGATTAAAGAGTTCTTTTCTTCCTGTCCAGTATCCTAATTTCAATATAATGCAACTTTGTTGTTATGTTTGTACAGATCTAGTTGCTTGCTTGGTCAGGAATTTCTGTCCCAGCCTTCTTCAGCTACTAACACTGATAGTGCCTCTTGCATTCTTTTCATATTATGTATACAATGAATTTGTATTATCTATTGTTTGTTCTAAACTTCTGACTTTATTTTGCCAAGGCTATCTGGTTTTAAATTAGTAATTTTCACTCCCTCATGCAATTCTTCTAAATTATTTTTTGGAGTACTGGCTATTAATATTTTAGGTAGCTTTGATGTTTTACTTTATGGTCTTCAATTTTATTTTACATTTCACAGGTTCCTAGTTGCAAATAATCCTACAGGCAATTTTCTCACATTGCAGCCATTCCTTGAAAGATATGCTAATGTATCAAGGCACTTGCAATGCTGGGGGTTAAGTTAATCACCCAAAATGAGCCATATTACTGTCAGTGGTACATAAAGACATCCCATAGTGAATTACTAGGCAGACTAGCATTAAAGCTCCTTTATAAAATACCAGAACTTGAAGGTGTGCAGAAATAAGCATTCATTTAAGAATCTATTGAGCTAAGGAATCTGTTTTTTGTTATTTCTGGACTTGAAGGTACCAAGCAAATAGAATGTTTGTGTATCCTTTAAAAAATTTGAAATATTGTTTGACAAGCCCTTGTGAATTGAAAGAGAAAAAAAACCCTAGTAATTACTGCCTTTATGTTAATATATTTGTACAGAAAAAGGAGTTGCCTGCTCTCTGTTCTCACTAAGCAGGGTACCTAAAAAATAAACAGATTAGATTATATCATTTAGAATGAAAAATTGAATGATTCTCATACCCTTGGACTTATTTGCAAGTAACCAGAAGATATGTGCAATAGACATATATGTTAATTTATTCATTATATACTATAACGCACAATATGTGTTTAAACAGTGCTTCAAAGAGACATTTTAGGCTCCTACATAGTAAATGTTTGCCAGATATTTCTACCTGTCTCCTAGAGTTCCCAACGAAGTAAACTTCATTGGGATGTGAATGATGAGCCTTTTATCCAGAAAAATAGAGCGCTGTGCTGGAAACGTACCCCGTGCATGTAGAACTAACCAGATGCTATCAAACGAGGTGTTCCTTTGCTCCAGCTGAGCACAAAGAAACATTTAGCTAGGCAGGCTGAAGAACATAGTTAGGATCTTCTGCCAGGTCTGATTTTTGTTGGTTCCATCATGTGCAATGCATCAGCACTGTTCTGTATAGACAGCAGATTAAGGAGTTTTGGATAGTCTTAATCTGTTCTGTCAGAAGGGTACTTTCTCAGCAGACTGACTGTTAGAGAGTGGCAGAGGTACAGTTCAGTGCTGCATTTTAAAACACCAGTAGAACAGTACTTGTAATGATCTAGATTTCTGTTTCTTGTCTGGAAAAAAAAAATGAAATAAGATTTAGTTGCATTGTAATGATATTTATTTTTATGAGAACAAAATGTATTTCAAAGCAGAAAGGATAGAGAGTGTACAGGAAAAGTTTACATGGAACACTGTATTTATTTGCCATGCATATTTGATATGCGTTCATTAAATACGCAATAGAAATGTCAACATAAAGTGCTGTTTAGATCCTCCTATAAAAACAAACTGCACTGGTATTAAAGTTGGAATGCACTAATCTTTGGTTAAATACAAGCTTTATTTGCTATCCAGCAAAGAAATGTTTGGTTGAGTGTCGTTAAATAACCATATATTTAACCTAATTTAATTTGCCCTTCATTTATAAAGTCTGATAGAGTGATACTGTGTCAGTGTAAGCAGCACTTTCACATACCATCATCTGCCATTATATGGTTTTACTTTCCACTCTCACCCTTGACGTTCAATCACTAACAATTATCACCAGCCCATACCTAACTCGAAAGTATTTTTGCAGGCTTGCTGAACCATGGCAAATCCTTCTCACAAAGAGGAAAAAGCATCCATTTCTTCAAGGAATATTTTTGTATTACATACAGTCCTATGGCATAACTACAACAGATAAATCTCTTCACTAGTAACATTTGAGATAGATGCCCTCATTTGTGAGTTGGAAGTGACAATTAAATTGTAAATATTCCTAAATTAGGGTATTTTGGTTTTGGTTAGAGTTGGTTTGGTTGGGTTGGGTTTTTTCTGGTTTATCTATGCTGACTTTAAAAGTTGTTCCTTTCAAATGACTGGACTCAGGCTTTTAAACAATATTTATAATAATGGCTTACATATACTGAAAAGAGTCTTCTTCAAGGATCACTGGAAAAGTACTTTTAATCAGGATATCCAATCGGGAATGTAAAATACACCTATAACAGGATTGTCACAGAAACCTTACCTGGAGCAGCAGTTTGTAGGGAGCTTTAAATTGGGGTTGCATAAACCTGCAGCATAATATTATCTCTTCCTTATGGCCTTTGCAATTATTTCATTCTCTATAATACGATCATGAATGTTCCTACTGCCTATGTATCTACTATTTTGGGAGTTGGTTTACTACACTATACTATTAACTTAATAATAATTTTAGAAGGCGTTCCGTAGGTGTACAATTTATCTAAAAACTGTCTTTCTACAGGTCTTTCTGTAGGTTTACCCAGCAATCATTCTAGTGCCTGCAGTTTAATGCAGAGAAACCTGAGCTAGATTTAAATTTAAACCCTGGTAACAGTCTAACCAAGGCAGCACTGAGCTCAGCACAGCCAATTTACTTTGCTGAGGAGATTAGGTCATGCTGAGCTCTGCGCTGCCATAGGTGACTGCTGGCAGTACCCAGGCTCACTAGTTTAAAGCTAGTGTGAGCACCTCTGCGGTGGGCTGCAGTTGTTGCTGGTGTACTGTCACAGTACAGTGTATGCATACACATAAATCTTTGCTTTTCTGTTTCAGTGGGTGTCTGTTGAGTATGTTCCGTGTAAGAATTTCCTAATTTTCTTGCTCTGATGTTATTTTTATATTTTTATCATATCTCATCTTCTGTCTCTTCAAAACAAAATAAAACAACACAACAGCAGTTCAGTTTTTGTTTTTGCCTTTAGCCTTTTCCAGTTCTGCTGCGTGTTTCAAGTTGGAGTGACCAGAGTAAGCGTGTTACCTCCTTCCATGTGCTTCATACTGTTGTCTGCACATGCCACATGTGAATGTCTTCTTTCTAAAATAAATATCAACATGGTGCCTCCACAGACTTTAGGGAGACTTAGTTAACATGATGCCATGGTGACTGCTTCTTCTCCCTGGTGTGTCCTGGCCCAGTATCCTGAAGGATGTACTTATCACACATGTTCCAGAACTACAAAGGAGTTATAGCATACACAAGATATGCTGACAGAAATTACATTGACAAGGGTAATCAGAAATAAGTGTTGAAATAATTAAAAATATCAAGAATAACTCTCCAAATGTTGCTATGCCTTTTTTTAATCTTCTCTTCCTGTTCTCATACCTTTGTACTTTTCTACTCTGGCCATTGTGACTCTGACTCTTTGAAAATATGCTTTGATTGATACAGCATCCTCTGAGCTCATTAAAAGCACAGAAGTGATATGCATTGTTTGTGATAGAATAATGCAACATATATCTAGGTACATGAGAAATAGAAAGGAAAAGTAACACAAAATCTGTCTCATTCAACAAGTTTATTACAGTTATCTGTTTTTTTTAAATAGCTGGTGAAATAGCTACTACTCTAAAAAGGGCCAGACAGGTAGACAGTCATGCAAGTAGATCTCTGTACTTTATTGGTTTGGAGGACTGATGGAAAATTATCACACTTGGCAAAAATTCTGAACATTATGAGAGGAGAAGGCCGCAGAAGAAAAGCAGTACTGTATTTAGGGATTTCATTACATCCTTCATTAAAGATCAGAATGAAAAAACAGGGTTTTAATAATGAGGTATAATTCAAAATAATTAGGCAATTAGAATAAATGCCTCATTAAAATAATGAGATTTGCGTGCTACATAATAATGCTTGTTTTTAACTCATTCAAAAATATGGAAGTTTTGGTCAATATGTGAACTCCCAGAAATGCTCTTCTGTTAAGGGTGGCTTTTATCCTACCCCTGAGCAAGGACCAGCCTAGACTGTGTGACTTTGGTGAGCACTGCAGGCTCTCACTACTCAGAGGAACCCAGCATGTCCTTCAGTTCAGATCAGTAAGGACCATACCCCTTAGCTGTCCTGAATGGTTTTTTGGAAATAATGATGTGAATTTTGTCACTTTAAAAATGGTCTTTTGGGGGAAATACCAACAGTTAATGGGTGTTGGAATGAGAGCGACATCCTGTCCTCCAGGCTTTTTCATGAAAGAAAAGTATTTCATTGCCATTTGAAATGACCAGGGACATATATTTGTTCACATTCTCGTATCACAAACACCTAATCAAAATGGTATGAAGAGACAGGGAAAGCCATTACCAAGCTGAACCCAAATGTGCCCGGTTTCAACCTGAGAGAAATTTGTAGCCTGAAGTTATAAGCCACTGAAAATAGGTGTTTATAATGGAAGTGCCATCTTAACCTTATCTGTAGTGGCACTACTGCTTTGCTATAATATCTCTTCTCCTAGCATCTGTGAAATTGTAATCTGTCCTACGGCTGGTAACTGAGGAGATGATGAAACCCAGGGATATGCTCTGAACTACCTTAATTTATCTGTACTAGGTTTTTACTGACACATAAAAAGGGAAGGTGAGCAGGGGGTGAGGGGCTGATGTCAGACAGCTGAGTGCCTCAAACATGCTTGGTAGAAAGGGAAACAGGGCACCAGATGACTGTGCACCAGTCACCAGATTATCTTTTTATACCTCATATTTTTTTCTTTTTCTGCAGCAAGCATGGAACAAAACCTTCATGATATTTGAAGGTTTCATCTGTAATATTTGTTTTTTAGCCTAGTAGACCTGGAAGAAAGCCAGTGTAGGACATCATGGTCCTGCTAATGAAGATGTTATCTCTGGAAACTTTCTGCGTTACTCAGCATTATGCTATCCAGCTGCCAAATAGTGGTATGTGCTACACTGATTCTTTGTAATTAAAATAGCTCTTCCGTTGCTGCCTCTATCATTTAGGCATGATGAGAGAGGCCTTTAATGGTATCTTAAAAAAAGTCATGGTAAATATTTTTGATGCATAACTACCTTGTTATTTTTGTGTCCTAAATTGTGTGTTGCCTTACCTGACTTCTTTGTAAATTGGCCAGTTTTATCTTTAAGCACACAATTATCTTCAATGGTCAAAAAAATTAATTTCTTTTTCAGACTGTTATGTTTCTACCATTAGCCCACAGTAATGTTCAAGAATACAGGATCTGACTCCTTGGAAATGTTCTTACAAAAATGAACCATTTTCCCATTTGAACAAGAACACATAAATATTGGTGGTACGAGTGATGTGAGCCTTGAAAGAAGTCAGGATTTTAACTTTTGACAAAGATAGCTTTGCTTATAACTTAAGTAGTATCTCATGTCTTTAACTGGTGAGAGGACCAGATAAGGTAGAACTTCAGTCCTGCTATTAGTCTGCAGGGCTGTTCAGACAAATCTGGTAAAGCTTTGAGTTTGATTCTCTACAGGAAAAAGGAATTGGCAGAAATTTCTGTTATCCAAAATCCCTAAGAGTACTCCACTTAGTATATCTTTCTGTACCCGTATTTCATATGCATAACATGGAACTGCTAGAATGAAGGGCTGTAGGGGTCTCTTTTGTGCACTATGCAGTGCAGCATATTGGCCTCTGGCCTCATTCTCTCAGAAATTACCCTTGTTAATAATCTGCTTTATCCTTGCATTGCCTTCTGATTCTCTTACAGCTCGGTGAGTGCTCTTATTCTGGCTCATGCAGATACACAGCAGTCATCAATGATTTCTCAGCACTTCACATTATTCAGGCTTCTGCTAATTCTGGGAACTATTTGACTATAAGGGACTAAATTTGCCTGAGGGTGTGTCCTGCTTTCATCTGGGATAGAGTTAATTTTCTTCCTAGTAGCTGATACAGTGCTCTGTGAGAATGTTGATAACACATTGATGTTTTAGTTGTTCCTTAGTGCTTACTCTGATCAAGGACTTCTCAGTCTCTCATGCTCTGCCAGTGAGGAGGGGCACAAGAAGCTGGGAGGGAGCAGAAACAGGACGTCTGACCCAAACTAGCCAAAGGAGTATTTCATGCCACAGAATACCACAGAACATCATACTCAGGATATATACCAGGGAGAGCTGGCCAGGAGCTTCCAATCGATGCTCAAGAATGGACTGGGCATTGGTCAGTGGGTAGTGAGCAGTCCTACTATTCATTACTTGTGTTTCTTGAGTTTTAGTCTGTGTTCCAGACTTGGAATGTGGAGCTCTCATCTTATGTGAAAACAGCAGTTTTATTTTCTATACACAGATGAAATTTATTTTCAAGTACACTATTCCCATATTTTTTTTTCTGAAATAAGAGTATAAAAGGTTCTGAAGACCAGTATAAAAAAGGAGGAAGTATTTTGGAAAACAGGGAAAATACTAAAAGGGAGAGGGACATAAATATGAAATGTTTTCACTTTTAGGCCAAATCTAATTGTCAGGAGCATTCAACACAGAGGTTGAAATTCATTAGTTTCACAAGGATACATACAGACTCTTTCACATAATTGAGTCCTGTAACAATGTTTGCCTGGTTATCAGAAGACTGTTTCAAACTGGTTTGATTTTGCTTTTGTAGTGAAATATTATTTTTTTAAAAATTGGCATTACAATTTCAGATGCCTTTCTACAAAAAAAAAACCCCGCGATTGCCATGAAAATAATGTTTAGATGAACTGGTTGCTTATCTGAAATGTTTTTTTTTCCTAATACTTGTTAGGACACTTTAAAATAGCTGCAAAATTGCTGTAAATCTTTTTCTATACTATTTTCTACATATCCTGATACTCTTGTTCTGTCCATTATCCAGATATCCTTCATTACCAAGGCAATTCTCTGAACAGCTGCAACAATGCTGGGAAATGCCACCTGAAATTGGAAGACAATATCAAGTTTTCAGAAGAGATAATATTTTGTTTTATTAGTTTACAATAAACTGTACCATCTTCGGCAACAAATAAATGAACTTTTATTAGAGACTTTTATTACAGAGACTTTTATTAGCTGTGTGGCTGGCATGTGTTTGCATGCCTACTTTTGCAATGAGGGTCATGCTTTTTAACAGATAAGTACAGAACCTCAAGCAAACAGAAGCATGCTTCCAGGAGCATATATATATATGTGTGTGTATAAATATATGTATGTATATGTATATATTAAAAAGAAGTGCTTAAACAGAAGCACTCCTCATGTATAAAAAAGGAACACTTTTAAACAGACTTGCTGCCTTTAGGTAGACTGAACTTTTAAAGTGCAATAAAATGCAGAATTTTATCAGTACCAGTATCATCTATAAGATAGAAATGGAGAGTTAGTGCTAATTATGTGCAGAAAATAAATGAACACGTAGGTGTCCACCTCAGTGACTGAGCAGTTAATTATCTTCATCACAGATGAGGTAATTTTGCACATGTATTTGTGTTAGTACTGTAAGAGCATGTTTCATGTGCAATAACTGGGCCTAGATATCTTCCCTGTTTTCTTTTAGAGATCTTGATGCAGACTGCAGCAGCAACCAACACTGGGTAAGTCCTCTTACTGCAACCCCTCTCTCCCTTTGATATTAGAGTGTTTTCACAGAAATTTCTTGTTTGAAAGAATATTGATCATTATTTCTTGTCAGTCTGTCTCATAGTTTCTATGTACTGGTTAAGAAGATGACAGAGCTAGAGGGGTCTTCTACAACAAAAATGTGGCCAAGTTCACCTCAGTTGATTTCTATCTGAAACAAAGAAATAAACCCACCAGAGATTCAAGCAGGACAATCCTAAGAGCCTTCAAAGTAATTTGGCAGTTCAAAGTACAAAAACCTTTTGTTCTGTCTGGATAGACACAAAAATGCCTGAGATATTGAGTGTTGGTTTCTGATTAAATTCTGCAGCATTTGGTAAAATAAATCTGTCCTTTTAAAGGTAGAATATATAGTGTATAAAATTATATGTAAATCAAACAGTTTTGCCTTAGTGAAGCTTGGTTAAAAAAATTCTCTAGAAGCATAAACCACAGGAACAGAAGCTGAAAAAAGCATTAATTGAAATTCATGCCTCCGGAATTTATACATTTATATAACAAGTGTGTTGTGCTCTTTCAAACTGGTGAGCTAGTCTTCATTTTGCAAAGATGATCCGCTGCCTCTCCCCCACCCCCCTTAATTTCAAGTAAAAACCATCTGCTTCTCTCTAGTGGTTACTTTTTAATTACCTTGAGTGCCCTAATTCTGTTGTTAAGAAAGTTTGAGGTTTCCAAGTCCAGTTATATACTGAAAAATTGCTAGTTTGTGAGCTAGAACTGAAGTCAGAGTATTGATCTCAGAAAAAAATTACTTGTGGGGATTTTCTCTGACAAGAAAGAATGACTTTTAAGGCTTCCAAAGATGCAAAATTCTTTCAGTGACATGCATTAGTGATAATCAGTGTGTGTTGCTATGGTTCAGTAGAACTCAGCACTGAACTTCACAAAACTCTTTCAACCTTTCCTCTCTAACTGTATAAATGTGAAAGTAACAATAAATCTTGTTGACAATTACTTCCACATCTACTGGCAGTCAGTCAGCTGCAATGTGAACAGTATTGTGCACAATATGTGCAGCGCAGCCAACACCCATTAACTATCTCCCTAGTTTCTCCTATGATTTAGAGAACGTGTTATTTTTCCCCAGTGAGCAGCCCTTTCAAATTTTGAATTAGTAATATTAGCACCAAATACTACTAATTTGTCAGCCAGGCTGTGTTTTTCCAAAGTGTTCACAATGGGGTCTGATAACTGCTTTGTAGTGCAGCAGAGCAAAGATGAAAATTCAAAAACTTTTGTAAATCATTTGTATAAGATGTAAGTGGTGTAATTTTTTATTTATTTATTTTATTTTTTTTTTACTGTTAGAATAGTGTGTATCTAAAAAAAAATTAAGAAGTGGAATTTCAACCCTATTCAGCAACAAATTCAAATGCATGCTAAAATGGAAGCATATACATTAGTTCTTTCAAGGAAAATAGAGAAACATTTTCTAACAATATGAATACTTGTTAAAAAAGGGTATTGTCAGGACCCCTATATTTTCAGACTTTAGTGGCTAGCTTAAATAATATTTATGAAGAAGAAAAGAAACCTCTGCTATAAAAAAGAGATTTCTATTGTATATCATGCCTTCATTGCTTGCATACAGTTTTCATTGACATCAGTATGAAATTTGAGTAAACAATTGTGTAGCGTATGAAACTGAAAAGCACAAAGGATTGATGGTCTATTTTTCTAATCAGTTTTCCCATGCAATTCTTACAGCCAAATGGACATACACTCTTATATGTAAAGCCATACTCATATGGATAGATAGACCTGTATCTAATTTTCATAAATACACAGCTACCTACTATCAGAAAAACATGACATTCAGTAGACAACAGAGATTTGCTGTGGACATCTGAAAAATTAATTCAGCTTCTTTCATTTCATGAAGTTGTTTATTTTCAATTCATGTTTAGTTAAATACATCATATGAATGATATGTAAGTAGGGGTTGTTACAGCTAAAGCTATCCATAGTTTTCCCCATTGCAAAATTCACAATAGGTCAGCATTAAGCTGACTGATTTAGTACAGGGAGAGAAATGGAGCCACTTTGGTGACTGGGGAAGATGTACAGGAAGCCTTTTTGCCAGAATAGTCTAAAATTGGAAGGAAGTTTGTGAATTATATGTGATTATCCAAGGAGTTTTGTCCACACCTGTATAGCACTATTTTTAAAGCGAAAAGGTGTAATTGAACTGAAGACTGGATGGCATTATAGGAATACCGCAGGGAGAGCCTATGTTACTGAGTAACTTTGTTATCTTGCAGCCCGTGGAAGGTTCCTCACTTCCAGGACTAGAAAGTCGGCTTATAATGTAGGAAAAAATGTATTTCATTCCCGATGTGTTAATGTTGAATAAAAAAAAAAAAAAAAAAAAAAAAAAGAAAAACACTGGGAGTGAGGACTGTGAGGAAGGTTCTGTTCTGGGAGTTATCGCTGAGTTCTTGACTCTAGGCCAATCACTGGCAAACAGTTTCAGTGCTATATAAACTGGATATCTAAATCCATTTTAGACAACTGGCATGATTAACACCCACAGTTCTCCCCAAAATAGTGACTCAAGGCAGTTCCTTACAGATTTGATAATTTGGAGAGAAGAACATTGCCCAGGGATTCTGGAAATAAAATAAAATTTATTACTCTCTAAAATGTGGTCTGAGGGGGTTAGCATCTAGTTCCCAGTTTTGCCATTAACCTTCCTAGACCCACTGAGTACATTGTGGAAGCAACACAATTTTGACTGATAGTTTTTTGGCTTAGTTAGACAATATTTTTAAAAGACTGTTAAGATTTTTCCATGGAAATTTCTCTGTAACAGAGATGGACTGCCCCTTGCAGAATATAATAGATACTACCTCTTTCTTTTCTTTTATTTGAATTTGGATAAAAAGTGTTGATGGAATTATTCAGTACTATAGAGCTGAAGCGATGATATTGGCTGTAAAAACTGCCCCTGTGCAAGAATGTTACATTTTTATTGAAGTCTTCTTCTTTATACTCAGAAATTGCCCTGTTTTCAATTCTCTCATAACACTAAAAAGAAGGGGAAAAAAGGAAAATAGAAGAGTATATGCTGTAAATGTTATGTTCACATATTTTTTCTCCAGAAAAAAGAGGAAACTGCTAGAAATGTTGATTTGTTTTAAACCTTTCAACAATTGGAGATTATTGAAATACTAAATTACTGGCACACAGGAGAACTAGATGATTGTTGTTCCACATTTACAACACGAACCAAATGATGGCTTCGAAAGAACAGCAGCAAACATTTTGAGTCTTAATTATCAGGCTGAAAAGGCTGATGAACAAAAGAGAGAAGGGGGTAATGTGTGGAATAGTGAACAGAAGGACAAACATGTTAAAAAAAAAATTTAAAGCCTTTGTCAGACTCAAAAAGAGAAACAGACTTAATTATTATTTTCTCTTCATTTCATTTTGGGAGCTTTATCTGAAACTATAACTTACAAAGAGCAATTATAAACAAATGGCACCCAGCGTGAATATTTCTCTGAGGTTTGCTCGTCTCATCCTTGGCTCTTACATCAGCACAATGATGTGTTGCCCATTGGAAACCAGCATGACTAGGAGTGTAGAAGAGGAGCCATGCAGTGATTTAAACCTATAGCTTCATTTTTCTGCTCCATATGGAATTGCAACCTGGACAATAGTATCAATCCATTAAAATGAAGGGCTTATTCCAATGGAACCTGGCTAGATTAGTTAAAGTATTCTGCAATTCAAGGAGAACAGCAGAGAATATGGAAATAATTTCCTAGAATAATCCAGAGACTTACTTTATGCTTCTGATATAGATCGCTGGGGAAATAATTTAAAAGCATTTTTAAATATCTTGAATTTTCTATTATGAGCTTTTGGATTTCCACAGTTTGAGAGAAGTGAGACTTTGTGGCTTAGAAAACTAATTACAAAACATAAAAATGCTCAAGTCTAATGGAACAAATCAGACAGAAAAAAGATTTCCATATAGAAAGATCAGTGTTGGAATGGAAGCTACAGCTTTTACGTGTCTTCCTCTCAACATCTTTGTTATACATTCTCTTTGTTCCTGTTAGCTTACTAATTAGCTGTGATTTTTTTTTTTTAATGCCCCTTACACTGGGTTAATTTTGTCTTACTCAACAGCAGGGGTTTGTGTAATAATAATTCACATAGCAATGTCAATGATTAAAATCCTTTCATTAACATGGTACCTTAAAGATAATGAATGTGAAGCTTTTAGCTAACCCAATCTCTAGGCTCAGAAAGGCAGTTTTTGCAGAAAATAATAATAAAAAAAATCCTTGTACAGATTAGCTTTTGCCAGCAGAACAAATGAGATCTTTGTTTGGGTGTATTACAAACACAAAGTCATACAAATCAAAGAGCATTTATTATGAATACAATGATGTAGCTTGCTTCTTTTGACAAAAGAATTCTAATAATGTACTTGAAGAATGCAAAACAGGCATTCAGAAGTGCTAATTTTCTGGAATTTTTTTGTAGACAGCACTGTCAAGGCCCAGATAATCAACTGAGGGGTCAGAGTTCCTTGAGCTGAATGTTGTCGGAGATGTGGCGGAAGGTGCTTTCGGCTGGGTACGTCATTT